ATTTTTTTTAAAAGAAGTTTCATTATGGGTTTTGTTTCAAATACTACATAATTTTTTTTTTTTTGAATAGAGTTAGTAGGCTAGAGTATTCTGAACTAAATCACGATATTCTATCTATATGTACCCTTCAAAAATACTCTTCAACACAAAATCTATTTATCAAATCTTCCTAGTAACTCACATGATATTCTTTCCTTATACATGGCTAAATTTTCTTTTGAGGGAAACCAAAATTTTGAAATGAAGAAAAAGTTACCTTAATCCTAATTTCACATCATAGTTGCAAGAAAACACCTCAAACTGAAAAGTGTGTAGACCCAAAGTAGATTTTATCAAACTATGAAGAAGTTTTGTTCATTCCAAATGTGTTAATTAAACAATATGTTGTTTTAACCAACAAAAAACATCATGTTATTTTTAAACCACTACAAACAACATATTCTTTTTACATATTCTCATGGTCTTTCACGCTATTGGTATATAGGTTTTATTATATTATATTTGATATTTGACGTAGCGGAACGTAGATAGATGCAAGGATCTCATTTAGTCTGAGAATACCTAAGATCAATGTCTTCCTGGATTCGTTGAGATCTCTCTAGATCTGCCTAAACAAGAGTTCGAGAATACTCTTCTCTGAAAAGTACAAGCTCTTTAATTTAATTAATCAATCAGCTGAATACAAAAGTAGGCATCTAGGGTATATTAATAAGAAATCCTTAAAACCCAAAGAAAACTCTAGAATATTCTAGAAACTCTTAGAGATAAACACCAAAATAAATAATATAATTAAAATACACGTAAAAGATAATTATCCTAATTCTACGCTGCATCAGGTCTCGCCGGCCAAGAAAGATTCGTCCCCGAATCTTGTATCTGCGTTGTATCAGGTCCCCCAAGCCAAGAAAGATTCGCCCTCGAATCTTCAATAGGGCACCATACAAGTTTTCTTAGAAAGATTCGCCCTCTGATACCAACTGATGGAACGGAAGCAACGATAAACATCTCAACCAAGAGATTCAAAAAATCCTCGTTTGGGACCTACCAGTTCAACCAAGGGATTCAAGAATCCTCG